TCAGCGCGTCGAAATCGTTTTAGTCATCGGAAAGAAATAAAATGGGACGAAGGGGAACGGACGGGAGCTGCAACTACACCCACCGAACCATATCCGCCCTTCCTTCGCAACACGTAAAGGAGGTGATGAGGGAAACGTACCTTAAATGTCACGGCATTTGGTATATTCGCAGGTTGCTGCAAAATGGAACAGTCTCAAAAGGATCTGATATCGAATCAATCGAATAGGAAGTTCCATTTTCTTGCATATTCCATAAAAGTCTTTTGCTGCGTCTTCGATGGTTACAAAAACGCGTCAAGTCAAGCACCTCAATCAGACTGAATAATGTTGCACCAAATAGTTGCATAAATATGTTTGACACCAATAACATTTCCAATAATTAAATTACAGCACAATTCATAGAATTTGGGAAGCATCCCTCGTAAAACGCAATCAGTTCTAGCAAGTCGTAATCACTGAGTTCGGAAAAATCTTTTTTCCCATATACGAACTGCACTATCCCACGTATTTAGGCATGATGCATGACAGATCACCGTTTTAAATTCGTTCTGCGCGCGCAGCTAAAAAATTGAATTTGGTACTTATGGGATATGATACTTGTTTACAGTGCAATTGCTACAGTTTGATAATTATAATTGTTTATAACTATATTATAAGATTTATAAGCTAACGTAACAATATTTGCACTTATCAAACTAAGGTTTTTAATGTGTTTTGCTAATGTGGTTTTAAAATGAAGCTTTGATTTGATTGATGATAATGCAAATTTGTTTTTTGAAATAATTTTTGTTTTTGGTTTGAGAAGGGAATAAAATGGGAATTGTGAACAAGAGTCTTAAAAGTAAACACTTTTTTGCTAAAATAGAGAGTTTATAGGCTAAAATGAACCTTAGTAGTTATTGCATGATACTATGATATTCAACAAACATGGTTAAGACTGGGGCAGAAATCAAACGACTTTTATGGCATTTGGATTTACGATAATGCATAATTTCTCATATTTCATTGTCCAAACCTCGCTAGAGGAGGATCAGTAATCTCATAACAAAGCAATAAAAACACATTCTCAAATTTAAAAAATATTAATAAGGAAAAAAAAGAAATCTAACATGAAGCGTAGGAATTACTTATTCTATTAAAGGACTAAACTTAAAAAACAAACGTTCAATATAAATATTTTTTGAAGTTGAAATTCAGTTACATGCTGGAGCCCTCTAAGCCAATAAAGGGAACATTAAAAAAAGAAACTTACCTGCTTTCTAAAAGAGTCTCAACTAATTTTGTCCTATTTCTTCTCTCAATACGACTGTTTCGAGCCTTTGATATTTCTCGATTTTAAAATGGCAAATTAAAAAATGCTACAGATTTAAGTAGTCGGCGATTTCGGGCGGTACAGCCCGAAAGTTCGAAACGCAGATTATGTTCGGAAGAAGATTCATCGAACAGACTCTACATTAATTGGGTCTGTCCGTTTGCAAGCCACCACGCAGCTGTTTTGAATGTTTTCGTCATTAGGGAATCGAAACACCGTCTAATCACTAGAAAAATGTTTTAACCCGTAAAAGACGCCTTAAAAGAGAGTATTTTGATAAAAATAAATAATCCAAACCACAAAAAAGCACTGAAATTCTACGAAGACCGAAGAACACAACAACGATGAGATTTGGTTAGGAATTTCGCCAAATGAAGCTCCGCGTGACCTAAGTGAAGTGATCCACCTACATTCGCAAAATCAAATCTGTATATTGTATGTAAGTATACCGATTCACATAAAATAAATTAATGATGAAGGCAACACCTAGTTTTTATGAAGGTGACAGACAGAGATCATTCTAGACATAGCGAAAGTGTACCAAATGCATCGACAAGAATAGAAGAAATAAGCAATGGGCTGCGCAGTAAGCGGATTAATTACCCAGAAAATGGTCTTAAATATTGTAAGTGAGGCACGATAATACTGCAGTAGTATCTGTTTGCAAGGCAGCTCTCCAGACAGTTACCAAAGAAAATCAGATCACTTGTTTATTACATACAGAAAAATATAATGAAAGAATACTGGGGAAAAGGGAGTACACTATACACTGTACAACTGTAGAATAACTATTTTGCATGCTGGCTCTAAAGATGGTTGGATTCCAAATGGGCTCTCTCTGTCTGCGAAAAATATTAAAGATTCTTCTCTGGATTACCATGAAGACACCACCTCTGATTTATTTGAAAGTTGGTTTAAAAACATACTATTTCCAAACATGCCTCCAATGTTTTTCCCCGTGTTAACTCCAATGTCCTCAAACTTATAGACACCGAAGTTTTTAACATCCCTCCACAAAGTTGGGCAAATTCTGTTAAACATATAGAAAAAGAAGAACAATCGTATATCCATATTGCAAATAATATAGAACAGGCGATGATAGCGATAGTGATACTGATATATTATGTGAATAATTTTAAGTAATTTAAGTATGTAATAAAAATAATTTGTAATTTTATTTTAGATTTAAATATTGTTTAGTATCTTTCCTAACAAACTCCAAAAAATTCTAAGCCTGTTCGGCCATATTTCATTCTTACAGCTTGCCCGGGTCTTTCTTTAATTCGTATCATTTAGTCACTTTCTTATATCTATGAACAGACTTTACCACCACTTATTAATTTAGAGGATGGATCAATTTTCTGGCAGTAGCAGTTCCAATGTTGGCTCAGATGAAGATTCATCGTAAATACAACCTTTTTTTCCAATTTTTTGGTATTCTTTTAATTTTTATCGCAATAAGTTATTGATTGATTGCACTGATCAGATAGACATTTAGGAAGGAACAACATCTGTTGAAGTATAAGTGGAAGCAAGATTAACCATCTATTTTATTCTGTCTGGCATTATATTTCCGACTATGCAATCACAAATCGTACCGACTATAGCTACCATTATTTTGATAATAACTGCGTTCGGAAAATTCTTTCTTCCCCTATACGTATTTAGGTATACCGACTCATACAAAATAAATCTATAATGAAGGCAATAGCTAGTTTTTATGAAGGCGAAATAGCCGCACAGTAAATTAATAATTCCCTGAGGCGTATTTATTATGAGCCATATATTTATGTCTCAAAACTTCTTTAACGTACATATACCTTTACGAAGCTCGGGCTAGTTATTCTTGAAAAGGGAAAAAAATGTTACAAAAAAAACGAGAAGAAACAATGAACACAGAAAAATGGATGAGATGTCTGTATCACCTTTTCATATTGTTTCTAAAAAAACAACTACCAAAAATATAAACAACCAGCAATAAAATATAAATAAATAAAAATATTTAGATAACAATCAAAGTATCAATATTTTTTTGAAAGTCCGCAAAATATAACGGTGTACGATTTTTATAACCGAAAAACGTTTTATTCTTAACATTTCGAAATCCACAACTTTCTGAAATAGGCAAAGTGTGACTATAAGCCTTTCTTACCCCTGTCATCGATTAACGCTCTGCTAGATTTCTGTGTATTTTAGAAAATAATATCGGATGCGGTTTTTGCGGGAACTGTCTTTAATACTCCCGTACATATTTGCTAATTATCTGTTAGAAAAACGTTCCATACTTACAAAAAAAAACAAATAAAAAAAAAGAAACAATGTGAAGAAAAAAATGACACTAGCGTCAAACCCACAAACAATCTTATTAATCTGTTTCAAGGCCTACTTTTCAATTTTTGATGAATAAATTAAAATCGGCATGGTGAACATTGTGTTTTTAAAATAAATTTTATGTTATATGCGCTGCTACAATTTGGCCCACTAATTTCGGGACACCCTGTATAGCGGAAATACCTCAAATATTGGTGGTCACACCCACAAGTTATTTTTTCGACTAGATATTTAGTCAGTGGCAGAAATATCTAAAAAATCAGCCCAAAAGACAGGAAAAAAAATTGATCAATAGAATAGCATAGAATAGAATAAAAGTTTTGAAATTCAAGTGATCCGGTTTTCCCATTTCGGTCAAATCTTAAATGAGGTATAATTTCTTTACATATAGATCCGCCGCGGAAAAATCGATAACGATAATGACGGTTATGTCCAAAGTAACTTACATTTATTTGCAAACAAAATACAACCGTGAAATACAATAACAATTACGCTCGTATAACTTTTTCCATTAGGATGGTAAATACAGAAATATAGCATCTAAGTAGCCTATATTAAATATAATAACGTTCTATCAATTTCGACAAAGTGAAATGAGTTATTAACGGAAATTACCATTATCCAAATTCGAAGCCAACGGCTAATATAAAAAGTTGGATAATTCTTGTAAATACATTTTTACCAACAGAAATCATTCTTAACGAGGGCAAATCAATACCAGATTTCACAGATTTTAAAAAGACTTTTAGATATGTTTTTGGATTATGTTGAATATGTTTGTCTAAAAAAAAAATAAAAAAAAAACACTTGGCATAAAAAGTGGGAGAGTATTGCGAGTGTCAGTGTTAAAATATATATATAAATATATATATATATATATATATATATATATATATATATATATATATATATATATATATATATATATATATATATATATATATATATATATATATATATATATATATATATATATATATAATTATAAATTCTATCAATTTTGCAAAACGGATATGAAAATCATATTTTTCATTTTTTTAACAAAAATATCGTTTCTTGACTTTTAATCCAACAGATCTGTTTCAAAATTAAATCGATGAGCATTTAGAACAGTCATATAGTCAGATAGCTCTCCACTTTATTACTCGCGCAAAGAAATCTCAATACATAATACCTTAAGACATCCATATTTTCAAATGACAGTCGTCTGCGAGAAAAATTTCGGTAAAAACAACTGACTTACAGAAAACACAATAAATTTAATTAAAAGCAGTGATAAAAATCAAAACAATATCAGGTTTCCTACAAAGTAAACAACTATAACCTAAAAACCAATTTCGATCTCAACCAAACTTACTCTTCTTTCTAAATTTTCGAGTGTTCATCAATCCGTGGTCACTTTCACGCACAGAAAAGTCGTTTTCATTATACCTAACTTAAGTTGCGCTTTTTTCAAAATGAAAACTTCTAAGACACCTGTCTAACCGCCTAATCCTCAAGTTTCACCTGTAAAATATTTTTGCTTTTAGTCTGCCAGATATTCAACTACGCGTGCCCGGAAACTACTCCACAATTCAACCGGGAATATTTTTATCACCAATCACAATAGCACATTGCCATTTCATTTTCGCCATCTAGGCGTTGGTAGCCCAAGTGAAAATGCCATTGAAACTATTTTTATTTTGTCACAGAATATCACAACCTGGTAAGTGGGCTGTGCAATGGTTAATACCAACGATTTAACTGTTTGTATATGCAAATATACCTTTCATAACTATTTGATGTTAGTATTTAGAAAAATAGGTTTTCCTGATCTTTTGCACACAGACAATTGAGTACCAGTAATATTACGAATATGAATGAATATTCTACATAATTTATGCCATCTTGATTATAATTGTATTATAAAGACTACATTTCAATGAAATTCGTGAAACGGCTATTCTGTCTGTGAAAAAAAAAAGTAACTTGCAAACCATCGATATAACATGCTCTGGTTAATGTTCTCTGGTCCCTCCCCTCCACCTTCCTAAAATGGAGCCGAAACCCCCCACTTCACGCACGAGTATGTTACATATCTGTTTTATTCCTAACTAAGCTAGTGGTAATTTAGGGTAGTACTCTAGATTTAATTAATTTTAAGTTTAGTTTAAGGATTAATTATAGTGCAACCTTAACCACTGCGTAAAGTAATGGAGGATTTTGAATATGGGTAAGAATTTTTGTTGTAATTTTTCTGTGCGGAAAAACGATGGTGGCGCTTGAATCACTCATATCGAAATTGACGGAAGTCGGTAAGCTGCCATTGTTGCAGTTTGAGATCGGTCGGTGCTTTCGTGTTACGTGGTGAATGTACGCACAGACCGGCCGTGAATTTTGGTAGTTTTTGGATTAGTTTCGGGCTTGGAATAGCATGCGAATGTTGAGGCTTAAGCACGAAATGATGGATGACGACGAAAAGGGGTATTTCTTAATTTATTTACATCGTTTTTTCTTTCGCATTTTATAGGTCATACGTCGCGGATCCCGCGACAATTTCACATCTGGTTTTCTGATTTGATGCGCGTAAAAGCGTTCGTTTATTCCGGATTAGATCCGTTTCAAGGTAAAAATCTTTAAAAGCACGTGGCGTTGGAGGTAAGCTCGAACCAAATGTGAAATGGCTGCTGTTCTTTTCATCATCACCGTTCACCGACCCCAAGCTTGGCATCTCGAGCGGTCAAAGAACGGCAGATCCGCCTATTTCTACCTCGTTTATAATATTCCTATTTTAGAAAATTTCGCTTTTTTGCGATTTATGCAATTTCCGCCTCTCAAGTTGGATTTAAATATGTATTAATAACTTGAAAAAATTAATGAGGTCTGCGTGGAACTTGTTGTATAACAAGTTTCAAATAGTTGGGAAAATTTGACTCATTGCTTATCTCTGATTAAATGAAATTTACAGATAAAGCTTCCATGTTTATTTAAATATGGACACCATGTCTTTCTACAGAAACAGGAAACAATTTGTAATTGCTTTGACAGCTTGGTACTTGACAAGTACAATACAATAATACAAATTGAATGTATTATGCTTATAAAAATTTTTACCATTCTTTTAAGCATATAAAACAGATCTATTGCTGATTTAGCTAAACATGGAACATTTTTCTGCAGGAATTAGACATGGCACTCTTATGTTTAACCAAATGGAATGTTTTTAATTTCAGTTGAAAACAAACAATAAAAATCCATTTTTTTTAAATGTCTTCCTTAATTGCAGGAAGCTCTTTGTTGGAGGGCTCTCGTGGGAGACTACCCAGGACAATCTGCAGAGATATTTCTCCAGATATGGGGAGGTTATAGACTGTGTCGTTATGAAGAACGCCGAATCCGGAAGATCCAGGGGATTCGGGTTTGTCACATTCGCGGATCCGGCCAATGTGACCGTTGTTTTACAGAATGGACCGCATACACTTGATGGAAGGTAAGCTAGCGTAAAAGGTGAACTTATTGAGAGCAATTATTTGAATCCAGTTGCCACATGTAAGAATTCATAACCTCAAAGCGACTGGCCGGAACGACATTTTTTAAACCTATTTTATCACCAAAAGAGTGGGAGGTAAGTTCATTCTTGAATTTTTGTTCGTGATGACTGTAGGATTCCACAAATTCCACGAATTTCTTGTTGGGGCCCTGTACTGTTGTGTTTCTTTTGTTGGTTAAGGTTAAGGTATTTGGAAACAGAATTTCTGTGAATGTTAATGTTAATTAATTTCTTTAATGTGAATGTAGAAATAATAGAATTTAAGTTCAGTACGAGATGGGTTTTGATTTTCTTTCAAGGACAATCGATCCCAAACCGTGCAACCCGAGAACACTGCAGAAACCCAAGAAGGGCGGCGGTTATCCGAAGGTGTTTCTGGGGGGGCTCCCTTCCAACGTGACCGAGACTGATTTAAGGAGTTACTTCACAAGATTCGGTAAAGTAATGGAGGTCGTTATAATGTATGATCAGGAGAAAAAAAAATCTAGAGGTAAGTACCCCACCAAATTGAATTCCGAGTTATTTATTGCCCTTTTTTTTTGAGGCTTTGGCTTTTTGTCATTTGAAGACGAAGAGGCGGTCGATCGGTGCGTATCGGAGCACTTCGTAAATCTTAACGGAAAGCAGGTGACGTTTTGTTGTCTTCATCTTAATAACTTTTTCCAAGGCGTACTCTTTTATCGTTTTAGGTGGAAATAAAAAAAGCGGAACCTAGAGACGGTTCCGGTGGCAACAAGATGGGAGGGAACGACCCTTCCTCCGCGTGGGGTCCCCCCCAAGCCCCGATGGGCATGATGGGGGGGCCAAATGGTCAAATGGGAGGACCTCCCATGAATTTGGGAGCGCCCATGGGCCCAAACATGATGCAAGGCTATCAAGTAAGTTTTATTGGCACCCAAACGGGATGAAGTATGTTATGATTGTTTTAGGGATGGGGTACCTCGCCTCAACAACAAAATTACCCTGGTTACGGGACACCTTCTGGGCCCGGTTCCTATCAGGGCTGGGGTGGCCCGCCGGCACCCCAAGGTCCCCCTCCACAGTGGGGTAACAGCTATGGGGGACCGCCGACTCAGCAGGGGTATGGTTCATACGGTAAGTGACCTCTTTCGGGTGTTCCTTTTTATCGCAACCATACTTTTTAGCTTGTGTATTGCGATTTTGCATAAACGGGTTTCCTAGGTTAAAATCTCCACAGAAATGTAGTTTAAGGACTTTTTAAATTAAACCTCTAAACACTTTATTTAATTATTTGATTTATTAGTTTTTCTCCCAATTAACAGAAACCTCTGAGAAGGCATTCATTACGTCATAAAGATATTGTCTAGAGTTAAAGTGACAAACGTTTTCCTGTTTGATCATGTTATCATAACATACCTTTTTTCGGATATTTATTTTTATGGGCAAGAGTAGGTTTTGGTTGGTGTACTATTTCTTACGAAAGGGGTTTGATTGATTGACCAGTTTCACATCAAATATTATTTTCTGTTTGAATACCTTGATACTTAACAAAAAGCTTTTAAAAAAGTTCGAGATTTATTGACGGCTGGATGGATTTGGATATAAAATTCTTAGCCATATAAATAATGTTATAACAGGGTACAAGAAAGTTGGTGCAATTTTTTTTCATACTATTATAATGCAATAATTAAAACAAAGTAACCAATAACCAGTTCAAGTAATGTACAGTACAGTGCAGTGCATTTCATTAAAAAAAAATGGACGTGCCAGATGGAAAAAAATGTTATAAAGGTCTTTGTCAAGCAAATGTTAGGTGTTTTTTCACAAATGCCTAGTTAAAAATTTTTACTGCATAATTAAAAAACTTATCTATAAATATATAAATATTTCCATAACTCTATCTTTCTTGATTCTTTATATCTATAGTAGGACAAAGACAATAAGCACATCTTCTCTTTTCACTCCTTTTAGATGAAGCTTCAGACTCAGAAGTCATTGTTTTTATTTTAGGTAGAACGCTAATTTAAAACATTTAAATTTTTCGAAACTTTCTAGACATACCTCACATAATATTCGTCCTATACCTAAGTGTTACCGTGTCTGACATATTGAATTTTATGTCAAAAATGACGTTGGTCTAACTATTTCTATTGATCTACTAGTATGGGTTGAAATTAAAAAAATTAAATAAATACAAGGTGGCCCATAACTAACATACAAAATTTGAAAGAGAAAATCGTTAAAGTTTTTGTTAATTTCATGAAAAAAAAGGTGCCTATTTGAAAAAGTTCTACATTTTGAAATATTGGCGATAAAACATTGACTAATTTTATAAATCTTACAAATCATGCCTGGTAATTTAGATACCAACACAAAAGCTTTTAAATTATTATCAGAAATATTTAGACATAGTGAAAAAAAAAACAGAAAGTTTTGTGAAAGAATAATGGAAAAACCTAAAATTTCTAGGATTGTTAGGGTTAAGTCCAAATAATAGATTCTTTTTGTATTTTTTTTCTAAATGTTGCAAATAATTTAACTATATTTTTAATTTTATTTATTGTCAGTATTTTCCCCATTTATTTTTTTTTGTGTATTAAAATAATCATAACAATAAATAATAACTTAAGTTTGTGAGGTGGTATAAAACTGTCAATGCTCGATTCTTGTATTTTATTTTATGCATATATCCATTCATGACGATTAAATGAAACTATAATAGAATATATAATAATAATAACCAGCAAATTCATAAAATAATATTACAAAGTTAAGAAATTTAATTAATTCCACCTTGTATGTAATTCATTGACAATTGAAATAATACAGAAAAATTAAAGGTCATTTTTATATAAAAAACTTTTGTATTCAAACTTCTTTTATAAGACTGATAGATTTCGAGATATAAGGAAATCAAGCCTCAAAACAAAGTCGGAGAAATTCGCGGATATATTCGAACCGGGAAAGGTCACTTTTGACGTAAGATTAATATGCAAGGTAATAAATAATAAATAAGAAGGTTGTTACTTGTCCACGAAAATGCAAGCATTGTATATATAACTACGAAATATTTTCAAAGCATAAGGCAATCCGAAACGCTTTTGTCAATACTTTCTAAAGATTTTTTGATATAAGGTATCACCCCATAATAAACGGTCCACCCCCTATGGTTTAAGTAAAGAAATACGGGCCGTCTAGATATATCGCAATCCAGATGTTATACAAGAAAGTGAGGTGCCAGTGGTGCCAACAGTTTCAGTTTATAAAATTCTAGTGTGGTTACACCGGTCAACACGATTTTTGGGTCTGAGTCCTACATGTTAAATTTCAGTTTTTCTTACACTAAGAACAAAGTTTTTTCCGAATTAAAGTTCGCTTTTCTATAAACTATAACAATTTTTCATTTTTTCTGCAAAAATTACTACATTTTACGATTTTTTTTAAATAATTTTTTCAAGTTATGGTAAAAAACGTTTTTTTTTTAATTTCAGTGTCCTTTTAATTAAAATTTTTTGATAAACAATAGCATATAAATGTCAAACAACAAGCAATAAATATCTGATTTTTTTTCGTATTTCATTTATGTTCGTATGAGCTCTCTTGGATTCAACCCCAAATGTAATCTGCCATGGTATTCTCGTTGTGCTGCCCTTGACAACACCATTCAACGTCCATCACATTTTGGTGAAAACGTTCTCCTTGTTCTTCGGAGTAGGTATCCATGTTATCTTTAAACTAGTCTAAATCCGAATGTAGCATATGAAGTCCTGAGAGATTCTGCATCCCATAGTTTTAAAACTTTGAAGTATATTTTCAATTAATTGTTTATAATTGTCAGCTCTATGATTTCCGAGGAAACCGTCATCTACTGCTTTAAAACTCTTCCGGGCTCGTTTTTCACAAGCACTAAGAAGCTTACTTACTCCCTTTAACTTTAGCCTAACAAATTAAGCCTCATTTATGTTATGTTTTCCAATACGAAATTCGACTTGATCAGGTTATATAAGCTATTGATAATGCGCTGAATCTGCTCTGCTAGCCTGTAAGCAAAGATGACTGGAGCATTCCCATCAGAAAACCCACCATTGCAAAATCACCTATCATTGTTCACTGCTATTCTGTGTATTTCAATTTTTCTAGTATTATTTTCACGCTGTCATAGTTTTCTTTCAACAATACAGAATGTGCTAGAGGAAGACTAGGCAATTCATTTCCGTTGTGAAGTAGAATTGCTTCTAAACTTGTTGAAGAGGTATCGATAAAAAGCCGGCAGTCAGATGCTATGGACGGTATTCCGATTGTCTCGAACTTTTCAGTGACGTTCTTACGTTAACGTTTCTTTTCTGAAAAATCATGGAAACCATTTATGGCGCTCACATTGATAAGCTATTGTTACTTCATCTTCGAAGCAAGTTCCATTGCTATAGTCGTGAACATAGAATTTCAACTTTGTCTCGGATTAAATCATTAAATTCAGTTGGACTGATAAAATGTGGTCTAAAACTATTATCAATGTTGGTTAGTGGTGCACCGGATTCTGTTGAACTCTGTGACGCTTGAGCTGAGGTTGAAGGAAGATCAGTGTCGTACCCAATTTTGGTAATGATTTACTGGTTTTTAGGTTAAAATAGACTTAGTAGGCTTCGCAAAGTTTCAAATTTGTTGACAATGCAAATTTTTCACTTCTAACTTGTAATGAATTCACCACAAATAAAACAAAATGAATCAACATCATATTTACACTGTCTTGATGCCATTTTCTGAGTAATACACAAATACAGTTGTTACAGCTGAGATAGACCAGTTACTACTACTAACTTTGATGCTACTTACAAATAATAACAGCTTATTATATCTTTGGCTTATAAAATAAATTAACGTATACTTATCGACGTAAATAAGACAAAAGCAAACTTTATGAACTAAAAATGGAAATTTGAATGTTCTTCAATGTCTAAAATCAGATTTTTTTTTGTTGTTGACCTATGTAACTATTAAATTTGATAGCACTTTTTCTCTGTGGAGATTAATCGTGTTTTTCTAAAGAATGTCATATAATAATGGTGCATGTTATCCGCATCTTCGGATGCTACAGGCAGCGGAGCGGCGAGCTGGAATAGCTGGAACATGCCCCAGAACAGCGGCTCGACAGGACCATCGGGTAGGTGTCTGAGGGTGATAAGCGCGTCGAACGACTCTGCCGCACAGCTATCGGGGGGACTCGGGGAGGAGACCGTGGCGCCCATGTTTTGAACCCTCGCTTTTTTATCACGTTTTTTTTATTTCTCTTCTTTTTGCAATTAAAAACTTTGCTCGTGGCTATTAGGGGGACGTGTAGGTTATATCATCTCGCGTTACTCCGTCTGTGTGACACTGTATTCCTTTTATCGTTTGTACGCTTTTTTTTTCTATTTGTGCGAAAGCAGTGCCAAGTCTTCTACGATTGTAAAAGGTATACTTTACATTCATTCTAAAATCGAACGGGGTTTTGCGTCTCTTCAGAAAAATTAAAGTAAATATTAACGTCAAACTTTGAAGACTTAATAACATATGCTGGGCCTTATATCAAACCAAATGAAATTTGCCAGAAGACATCAACTCGTGTTTTCTTTTAATAATTTTTTTAGGTTTGGGTGTGAATACAATCTAGCGTTACTTTCAAGATTTTAAAATTCTAAGAACTTATACTTGAGCTTCTTCGCAAAGCTGACGGAATTGCAATAAGATTTCGAATTTTTCACGGTTCCGCGCTATTCGATTTTGGAGGTCTAAGTCTCTTGTGTATTGGTCAGTTCTCCCTTTTGCATTTTTTTTGTGTTCCCACCGTTTTAAGTAAAATCACAACGGGGGGAAAGTAGTGCCACTATTACATTTCATCATCGTACCTGTTCCATGATACCTGGTATTAACTGACAACTTTAATAACAGAACACAAGATTGGATAAAAGAAAAGCCAAGTTAGTTTAAATAGTTGAAGAAATGTGCAATTACAACCCTGAAAGTGATCATTTTAAATAAACATGTCTCTTATAATCTCAATTTCCTCCAGAGCCTCCTCAAAATCGGTATTAATTTCATGCCAGTACAGAAGTTCGTTACAATCCTCCATAATTGCGATGTTCGACTAGGTATTAAGTCATTAGCAAAAAATATCGCGAATAAACACAAAAGACAAATTTATAATTCATAATCTTGCCGGTTTCCCAATTTCTGTCATTCGTGAAGAATAATATTCACTGCTTCCTGGGGACTAAAAGTTTTCCTGCTAATAAGAGGCAGGTTGAAAATTTTCGCATTTTTCAAGACTTCAACACTTTGAGCATAAAATTTTTCCTTTTTTCAAGAATAGCTACATAGTTTCCGTCTCTTTGCTGTGAAGTAAAATTTTCTTTCGAAAATGGGGAGGATTTCCTTTTTTTCAAGAACGCCGAGAGAGTAAAATTATTCCATTTTTTCACGCTTGATGGATAAAATTTTTCATCTTTTAAAAAATGGGGATGACCTATATAACCGAAGAATCTCAAAAAGTGACTGACCTACAAGTCGTTAAACAAGTGGTTCTGTTGGTCTAAATGGCTGAATATTTTTTTTAAGAATGGCTGCACTGGGAGGAAGGTAAAATTTGGTGGGTGGGAAGAAAGGTGGGAGCATAAAATTTTTCCGTTTTTTCAAAAATTAACTACACCCCTCTAGTTCTATCGGTATTTGCTTTTATGTAAATGTGGTATGTTTACTTCTCTTTCAATCCAAAAAGTATTATTCTGGGAGCAAAAATTTCCTTCTATGGGAGGGTAATTATTATTCCTTTTTTCCAAGAACACTGGGAGAACAGATACCCTTGCAGGATAAAATTTTTCCTTCTTTTAAGAATCTTCTTTATAACAGTGTTTGGCTGCGCCCACAAGTTGAACAAAAAGTCTTGTTAGACTAAATACTTGAATAAATTTTCTGTTCAACGTTTGGGGCGTAAAATTCATTTTTTCAAAAATAGCTGCAGCGGACGTACCGGTTTCCTTTTTTTTCAAGAATTGCTGGGGTTGGAATTTTTGTTTTTTTCACCGGGAGGTTAACATGTTCGAGTTTTTCCAGAATAGCTAAACCAAGACGCTATAAACATGTTGAGTTTTTCAAAAATAAGCTATAACGAGAAGCAAAAATGTTTGCTTTTTCGAAGAATAACTAACTGTTGGCGAAACTTTTAAGAGGAACACAGTGTCTTTCGCGAATCTAAGCCCCCCCGCCCCCGGCATAATCTCCTCCCCTGCGTCCGCCCTATAGTTTCGACTTCCGCCGCCACTTTCGGCGAAATTACCGCTCGTCTCCTCACACAGGCTACATTGCCGGCGGCGATATGTACCCGAGGGGCGGTCAATCGGGCGCCACGGGTCCCTCCGGGCCTCCGGGCGCCGCCGCGGCGGCCATGTCCGCCTCAAGCGGGAGCGGTTCCAAACCCGGATCAGACTACGCCTCCGCCTACGGTTCGTACAGCTCGTACGGGGATTACGGGGCTCCACCAAGATCCGCGCCGTCGGCAGGCTACGGCACCGACTCGGCCGGGGGCGGGTACTCGTCCGCACCGCCCGTTACCGCAGGTGCGAAACATTTTAACGACTTCAAGGAGTGGCCGGCGTCATGACAATCTTTCGAGGGTCCGCCGGGGGGCGGCGCAGCCGCCGCCGTTCGACATTCTGTCGTCGCGGCGGCCGTCCCCGCCGCCGCCTCCGCCGCAGCCGCCGCCGCCGTGGTCGAGATGTCGCATTGATCGGGGCCGACGTTTATCACATAATCAAACGTTGATAACGGTTAATCAAAATTTCGATAGTTTTTCTTTACGCGTCGGCACCGCCCCCACGTGACGACGCACGGTGGTGAGATCGCGCGGCCGAAAAACTAACCAAAATTGTTAATGTCATTTTTCAATTCGAAAATCTCAAATCGGTAAAAATTAAGTCAAGCAAATATAGCTTCTGATTCGTTTAGTTCTTCTATTTCAAAATCGTCGACAAAATAGGTATTTTACAACAGCGAAAACATTTTGATTATTTCAACTGACCCATTTTTTTTTTAATTTACTCACATATCTACCTCGGTGAATTGGTTGGTGAAAATAATTCCAAAAGGCAGATTTAAAGCTGCGGGTAGATTCTAGAATAAAACTGAAGTGTGAGTCATTTTTCATTGATCTTGCTTAATCCGAAAGAAAATTTTCAGTAGTTTTGAGAATAATCAGAGAAAAAAAGAAATATATAGATTTCTTTTAGTTTGGGGTAACGAAAGATCAATTGGTGATAATCTATTAAAAATACTCTTAATCGAGTTATTTCTATCATAGCCCGAATGGAGCAGCTCACCTACACTTGGATGGTTAAACTTTACTTTTTTAAATAATAATTACACTTTTTCAAGAATATTTACTTACCTTGGATACTAAAGTTCTCCATTTTTTCAAAAATAGTTACTCTGCGGTGCGAAATTCTGCCCGTTTTCAAAAATAGGTACACCGGGACGTTGATAGATTTTTAAAATTTTTCCATTTTCAAGAATAAGCTACACTTGTAGTTTTCAATAATATGTACACTGGCAGAGTAATGTTTTGTCGTTTCACGTAACATTTTCTCATTTTTCAAAAATTGCTACGCTGAGATCATGAAATGTTTCCATTCTAAAGAATAGCCTGTAGCATATCCATTTTTCATTGGGAGAGTAAAATCTTCCAAACTCAATGTTCTACTTACAATATAAACAGTTTTTTCCTGCTCACTTTTCAGTAATTCTTCAGTTTCTTGTAGTTCTAACCTAAAATGACGTTTGACAATGAAAAATACTTGGATACTCGATACATACGAAATACGAACTGTAACTGTCAATTATTATTCGCCGACTTTAAAGTACCTATTTTGAATTACGTACAAATCTGACGGCACATAACAGAATATTTATGAAAAGTGTTTGGCAAACTTCGCGGAAAGTGGAAAATTTCATAAAAAAAGGAATGTTTGAAAAAAAAAACAAATGTTACCGATATTGGCGGCAAATTATTTGTTTTTTTCATGGCTTCAATTTTTGCGATATTTATTTTTATATGGTTAAAAATAATGAAGTTAAGTGTTATATATATATATATATATATATATATATATATATATATATATATATATATATATATATATATATATATATATATATATATATATATATATATATATATATATATATATATATATATATATATATATATATATATATATATATATATATATATATATATATATATATATATATATAATTTTTTTTGTTTTGTTTTTTTTTTATCATTTCTGGCCGCGGACTTGCATTAAAGCTCACCACTGTGCGACCTCTCACCGACCACACGCGACCAGGCAATATTTGTACTTGTAAGCCTTTTTGCAGCGTAACGTAGAAACTTGGGTATGTGTTGTAATAACGGTACGATTAGACGACACGACTTTCGTCCGTGTGATTCGAGATCTGGCGGGGGGGAGAAACGCGGACAGGACCGGCCGTGTTGACTATTTTTAAGTATTGTAAAATCCGCATAGATGGGGCTCAATGTCGCTCTTGATCATTAGCGCGCAGGCACTTCCAAAGACTGGTCAAGAATTTCGATTGTTGAGCGCGAACTCTTTACCTCAGACCATTCTAAAGTGCTTTTAAGGAGCGTTTTGCGAGGACTACTTGTACTTTTTTGTTCGAAATGTGAAAAGTAATGTGTAACGATGGGTGAAAATGGTGGCAAAAAGATACTATAGAGGCGAACCGTCCAATAAGGGAATCGTTTTGCTCTCTTAAGCCGAAACTACAGTCCTATTTAAGGTTTTTTGATCGTTATGTAGTAAAAAAATCAACATGCTCGCAAGAAAAATTGCAGATTCAAATTGATGTGGAATGGTGGGTCTACCTAAGTATTAAGGTTATCTTGACATGGCCACAGAACGCCATGTTGATTAACAATAATTGCTCGATTACCGTTCAGAGTGTCTATGTGAGATTTGAAATTGCATCAAGTTTCATACCACAATCGATCATTTCGTATTTGCACAAGCTCACTTTTTTTTTTCTAATTCAAATTTCAACATTTCGTTAAATCTCCTGAACATTGTTGTTAAAAATTTGTGACACGATTAGTAATTGTTTTGTACCAATGTAATTTATTTTCAAGTAAATATGGAAAGCGAAACATCGCAAATGCAAGTAATTGCTCATAATTCTTCTGATGCTTTTTCAGACCACCTTCTTAATCCATCCCCAAGTTTTCTTTTCTCGACGATATCGGACGAGCATTCGTTCTGCGCAGTACATTAGTGTTGCGTATCCCCTCAGTCCGCTATATGACTAGCACTCGGACTGACGCGATGACGTATGCTCGTGTATCAAAGGAAGTAATTAATTACTTATTACGGCACGGCGAAGTAATAAAAAATATATCGAGATAATGAGATTTTTCGGAATTGTGTCCACTTAGGTATAGCACTATTCTACATCATTTTAAGGAGAATTGAATTATCTACACAGACTGTCCTATTGAAAATAGTTAAAAATAATTAATTTTAAACGACTCTGTATAATATAGAATAAATTTTTACTAGATAAGTCTAATGAACTGTTCAGTTTTCTGCGAGTTCCAGTAACAGCAGTCAAGTTAAATTTTTAATAGAATCATATTATATAACTGACAAAGGGTGTAGGCCATTTCAGATAACAATGTTGCCATTTGTTGTTGTCAGTTCTCTTTAAACGTCTACCTCGCCATTGTTTGCATACGGGCCATTGAAAAAGGAAGTTGGTCAAAATGGCGCCGAATCAATAGGAAAGTATCGGTGAGGTCCTCTGTCTAGGCATTGTAATGTTTTCTCTTACTAATATTTTGACTACTTTTTACTCGCCCCTAATTAATAATACGATTCCTAATGTTAGCAAGTAGGTCGATCTATTTTTTTTTAACGGTAACGCTAAGTGTCCCTTTAAGATAGAAAATCTGTATAGCAAGGTCTAGTCGCATTTTTTTTGTTTTGCTATTTATTTAAATATCAAATTCGCGTTTGTACATATTTCGATAAGAAATTTATTTTTTGTTATCTCGTAAGGTAATTTTAAACAGTAATCTGCCAGGTAGTGGACCCCCCATTTTTTTTTTTTTGTACAAAATGACTGCGGCAGTAGTGCACAACCACGTCACACACAGACTTTTCTCAAGACTATTTAAAACTAGGGGTATAAATAAATAAATGCATATTATAGTTAGATCTGGGCTGTAATTCTTATATTTGTAAGGTATATCTAAAGTAGGAGACTTTAAGTAAGATTTTTAAGCTGTTGCCGTTTTATTATTTTATCGTTGAGTATTAGGCGGTCGATGTCATTGTTTTTTTTTTAAATGTTATATTCATTGTTTTCCCATTTTTCTCTCGCTATAAAACTATTTATTATTAGTTTTAGTTTCGAACCTCCCCCCCACCGAAAAGACTTGACCATTTTTTAGACTAATTATTAAATTTACTATAATATATTAAATAATAAAGTAGTGGAAATATAAGACCTGTGGTTGTGATCTATCTTTATATAAAAAAAAGGTTTTTCTCGTATCGTATTATCCCGATATCGACTTATAAGTACGTTATTAGTAAGAGAGTAATTTAAAAAAAAAATGGACGAGTCCCGCCCGCAGGTTCTTCGCCGCCATCGAATCACGCGGCGTCGGTCGCTGAACATTTTCTTAAACATCTAATAATTAAAATACTAACTAGATATTATTGATTTTCAGTGTCTTTCGTTCGATTGATTGACAATCTATGGTTATAAGCAATGTCTAAAATAGTTTAAAAAATTTTAACGGTGTTAAAATGATTATTTAATATTCAATTAGACCAAAAAAAAACTATATATACATAGCGTCCCAGAATTGTTTTGGTGCGTCGGGTGACGTGAGCGTGTGAAAAAAATACGGCGAAAGCCCTAATTTTGCATTTAAAATCATCCATCCGCCTTCGGTGTTCGAAAACGTTCCGGGACGTCCCTGTATCGCGCGGCGAAATTTGGCAACGCCGCGTTCGTAGTGGCCGCGCGGCATTGTCACGTTTCCGAAATATAAAAGGAGGGGCGAACACAGACGCGCGCGTAGCCGTTCCCTTTCTTATGTGGTGGAGGGATGTTGAAATACAGTTTTTTGAAAATTTCAAAGTGAATCGTCTACGCAACTTTTTCGTACGACATTTCTTTCGGTTGTTTTCTTCCTTTTTTTTTCCAAAGTTTTCGAGTATAGTTGAAAGCTGGGGCGTGTCACCTTAGTAGATGATTCTTTCGAGGAAGAGTTTTGACATCTTTTGCTAACCACACGAATATATTAATATACATTTGAACCGCATTTCCCAAAAAAAGAACTATATACACTAGGCTGGGCCAAAAAAAAAAACGACTATTTTGTTTTATAAAACCGTTCAAAATGACGAAAAAAAATCGCGAGTTTGAGGATATTTACTTGAATATATTTTTGTTGGAAATTTGGTAGGAAAAAGCTACATTTTTTAAATTTAAACATTCCATTTTACTATCAATTTGGTATTTTATTCACTGACAAACAACCCAATATGCAAAAAGGTGGTTAAGGTGCCTTAATATTTTTTGATAAAGTTGTTTTTAAAAAAACCGTTCACGATTGATTGTTTTTTCGTGTTCACTCAATTTACCCACTCAATCAACTCAGTCAAAAAAATAATTATTATACTGTATTACCATTGAAAATTATTTAATTTAATTAATATTAATGGCTCAAAGTTTTACGATCTTTTTTGCCCGTCATTACCGATATATTTTTCGTAAAACAAAATAGTCGATTTTTTGGCCCACGAGAGAGAGAGACCCCCGTTTTTAAGACAATTTATTTTTTAAATAGTTAGGTATTTAGAGTAAAGAAAAAAAAACACCGATACAAATCTATAGAATTGTTTTTGAATAAATTGTATTTATATTTACGATATAAAGAAAATAGCTGTTGAGCCGTTAGGGTAATTTTATCGTTAAAATAATAAATTAAAAGTAAATTTTAGATCAATTCGACTGATGTACAGTATAAACAATACCGGATAAGTTTTTTAAATTTAAACCTATTGAAAAGGGAAAAATGAAACAATAACAACTGTAGGGCCTTTTTAACGATAGTGCAATTCCTCATTAAAAGAAAATAGCTACATATAGTAATGTTTATACGATAAGTTTTGATTGTCTTAATTTAGGACCAGTTCTTTGCTCAAAAGATATTATTTTTTGTATTTGCGTTTTTTAAGTGTTAAGAGAGATCATCTACGACTTAAAATAATAGAGAGAAAAAAATATCTAAAATTGTATATTTATATATGAGTGTGACCGTAATATTAAGTGTGTTGACAGTTTGTTTTCTATTAATTAAGTCCTGATAGTTAATCGACAAATTCGTGTTAATTAATAGATAAGTGATTAGCCGAAGGGATAACTTGATAATTATAAAGGAAAAACGCATGTCCCTCCTGTTGACTTCCTCATAATCCTTTGTCGGAGCAATGAAAACACAATCTCCTTATCAGCATTTTTTTTTTACCAAGCTGCCTCGGGTGTTTCTGCTGTTTCAATTTATAAGAATATAAGAAATATTTTTGCCGTCTTCCTCTTTCGCTTGGTCCATTCTTTCGCCTTCACATTCGCTTCTAAATTATTTACGAAGATGAAAAAGTTTATTAAATGTTACATAAAAACGACTAAATTAGAAACAGCGCACTCTAGCGGTGAAACATCAGAAACATAAGCTATTGTATTTTTATACTTGAAGCATCGAGGTGGTTAAAAATTTTCAGCTATTCATTTATTGGCGAAGAGATTCTTTTGTGTTTTCGTAAGTAACACCCTCCTTCTCCGCCGCCTATGTGTAAGCTTTCATTTTTGTATAGTCCCGATATCTCGTCTTTAAACAACTAAGTACGCGATTAAGTATTGTAAAGATTTGTGGAAGAAGATTCTATTTAAACCTAGGGCTAATAATTTAAATCATATTGTTACGATAACACTGGAGACCTGGTTTTTAGCAAAATAATACTAATTAATGTCTGTTTTAAAAATATTAAATATATATATATGAGAATATTATTAGTAGTACGATGCATTTGTAATTGGGGGTTTAATTATATAGTAGTTAAAATATTTAGTAATACTTGAGTAATGGATATATTTAGCCTAAAAACAATTATTGAGTAATGTCTATTTAGAATTAATGAGAAAAGGAATTACTTAACAAAAAGGTATGTACCTATCCTATCATTATCTTTGATAATGAAAATATAATATCAACAAAAGTGTCGATCGATAATTTTTTCCTTTTTCCGTCCTCCCTTAATCTCTATCTTCCCCCTCATTTTTATTAACTTGAAAATGACGTTTTTTTTTGCAGATTATACAGGGTGTCCCGCGGTTGATTGAAGACTCTTCCCTACCCATCTAAAATATTTCCAGTGTCGCAGTGTTGCCGGTTGTATCTAAAAGTAGCCCCAAAACAAACATTTTTCTTTTGGTTTTCAGCATATTTTCCATATTTTTCGGTCAAAATAGGCCACGATTTAAATTTTTGACGGTTATTTGTATATTTTGAAAAGTCAACTTTTAAGCACAATTTGCCAGATAACTTTTGCTATGTATAGAAACTGCCAATGACAGGTAAAACATATTAAATATGATTATAAAAATATGGGGTTTCCGTTTAAAAGAAAAAGGGCTTTTAACGTTTTTGATTATTTAATTTTTGTACTTCATTTTAAATTTCTCAAAAAATGTAATAATAATAATTTAAAATAAAAAAGCTGGTACATATTTACTTCAGATGAATGGATCACCCTGAAACTCTTAGGTTCTCCGCCAGTGAACTAAGTACTAAAACCCCTTATGTATACAAAATATCACTGCAATGTCGTTTGAAACTAATTTTATAAAAAAAAAAACATTTCGACACGTTTTCGTCTTAAAATGAAGTCAGAATTCTCCTCCTTCCTTTTGTCACAGACATTACGAAACACCCTGTTATAAATAACACATTCCTTATAAAATGAAGACTCGTGACGCGTGTTAAAATTTCTATATATTCTGGTGTTACGAACGACTTTGACAAACATTAAATTACTTTCAGAGCTTAACTAAAACTTGTTTGAATTGATAAATATCATTTTGTTAAATGTAAATTATAGGGACTTGGCATATCAGTACATCTCGCTACAAACTTAAAGCATCTATTTCAGAATTATTCATGAAAAACAGCAGTGCAGTGCAGAAATGAAAATGTTGTTCAATTCAATTTTGTTCATAAACTTAACGTTTTTCATGAACAAAACCGATACATGTACTTGTTTTGCTAGTTTACATCACAAAGCCTAGATAAACAAAAATATTTATTCTTTTAAGTCAATAATTTCATCGTTAATTTTTACGTCTGTGACAAATGTTTTATTAAGTTTATTTAAAAAGTGAAGAAAAACGCAATTAAATTGATGAAGAAAAGGGTTCCTCAGAATTTCGTATGACGAATAATCCTCAATTCAATTTTTTCTCGACTTCTTAGATCTTGTCAATAAAACGATTCGTTCGTCAATGCTGTTGTGATTTTTTTATAAATATATGTATCACGACATTTTATGGCTACCTCACGTTTACTACGCCCGGTATCCTAATGAGATGATGAAAGCAAAATCTTATAGATCCTTTTACGTCGAATTCAGTGGCGTTCTGAGATTTTTTTGGAAAAAACGGAATTTTTTAGATATGAGCTCTAATTTTTTTTTTTTAAGAAGTACCCTGACATTTAAAAAAATATATATCGCTCTTTCCAAACATGTATATTTTGAAGTAACCCTATATTTGCCATAAAAATGACTTGTTTTATATATTAATTTTATTTCAGTTATATAATAATTATTTTATTATAAAAGATACGAATAGAATGCAAAAAATAAATATTTAGATATTTTTTAAAATGCAATTCCCTGTATAGTTTTCAAAAACGTATAATTCTTTAATGTTGTCAACATTTTGACATTTTAGAAGTTATACTTCAACTTAACGTTATTATTATTCTTATACGAACTAGAAGAGTGCTAAAAATAGTGAAATATTGTTACTGTGTAAGACAGTGTATAAAAAGCTCGATTAAATTATAAAAAAAAAACACTGTTTCATTGAGAAATGTTTGCTTTTTTTGATAATATATCCGTATTTGTTAAAATAAAATAATGTCCACTGAAATAGAATTAAAGAAAATATGGATATTTTTGAAAATGTCAAAATATACGTTTATTAAGAAAGTATATTATATATTCTTAAGTGCAATTAATTTTTTAAAAAATATATACATTTACATAAAATCTGAATACATCGTGGATTCTACGTAAAAAGATTTATAAGATTCTGTTTGCATCATCTAAGCACGTGTTTGAAATACACATCAATTCTTCGGTTTTTTTATTATGATTGTAGGGAAATCGTAGTTAATAACTAACCCGGCAATAATAGTTTAAATTGTGGTCTGTGTCGGTCGAAAAATATTGAAAATGTGGAAAATTAATATCTCGAAAAGCGTTAGAGATAGATATGGGGAAGTGTTTTGCAAAAATACCCAGGAAGGGGAAAAAATTGGTCAATATTTTGTGGCATGTTAAAAATCCAAGTTGGTGCTACTTTGCGATACACCTGGCAACACTGCGGCGCTCAGTTTTAGACCGATGGACCCATGAATCCCGCGACACCCTGTGGAACCGGTGTACTATTGCGTACTTCTAAAACTACATATATTTTGCAAATCACAAAATCTTTCTCACAACATAAGAAGGGAGGGATCATTTTTTCTGGTTTCTGTTACAACATACCCATTGTTTTTATTTATTTATTTTTGTTAACGGATAAAGCATTGGCGTGACGTCAGCCGACTCCCGTTTGTATTGGCTAAAAAATTGTCCGCTTTATAAATCTGAATTCGGGAATAAAAACGGAAATCGGGAAAGCAGGCGAACCGAAGCCGCTAATGATGGGTTTTTGTTTGTTTTAGGATATTATGTTTCAGCGTGACGCGCACGCCTATGAGTTGCAGGCATTTCCCGGTAGGAAATTGTAAATCTAAGCTGTTTTTGCTCCTGAATTTAGAGTTTAATTCGTTGAATTTACGCGGTTTTTGTAGAGAGGTTGGAGCTTTTACGTCACTTTTGCACAATTTCCCTCTGTCGCGAAAATTTTGCACTGCAAAATTAAAAATATTATGTTTTAGTACGGGTGTGCTTATTTCGGATCGCCAAGGGGTGACGTAAAGCTCCTCGTCCTTTGTCTGCTTGCCATTTTAGATATTGCCCTGTGCAGAACCGTATCCGTATTCCAATTTATTATTTCGGATCAACTCAAAGGTCTATGAAAAGTAAACTTCGGTTCAAAATCGACGCACCACTTATATTTGGGTTAACTTCAAAGTTAATTTACCTCCCGCGAACGTCTAACTTGATTTTGAGATATAATAAATATTTTTTGGAGTTGTAGTGATGTTGCGAAAGACATTTAAAAATTTAAAAATCCTTTTGGTTTAACAAAAATGTTTATATGGGTTGTAGGATCTTGCAGGCAATGAAACAAATTATCAAAATTATTCACAAAAACAGTTGTAAAAAAAAACTGCCAAGGGCAAAAAAAAATAAAACAAAGGACCTATTAAAATGTTTGGCTCTATTTTTATTATCTGCAACTATTCTAGTAGGCAGTGGATAGTGATAAAATCAATTCACATCTACTGCTTACTAGAAAAAAAGCAGCTATAAAATTATTCCAGAAAAAAGTGCCAAAGGTAAAAATAATAAAAAAAAGTAGGTGTAATTGTTTTTCAGTAAATGTTTATTATCTGCTAGTATTCTTGTAGGCAGTGAGTACTGGTAAAATCAGTTCACATAGACTACTCAATAGAACAAAATCAATTGCAAAAACATTCCCCAAAAAAAAAACGAAAGATAAACTGCCAAAATAAAAATCATTTTAAAAAAGTGTCTATAATAATTTTTGACCCAATTTTTATTATCTTCAATTATTCTACTAGGTAGTGGGTGCTGGCAAAATCAATTCGTATCTATCACTTACTAGAAGAAAAACAGCTGTAAAAATATTCCAAAAAAAAACGAGATAAACTGCCAAAGGCAAAAATAATTTTTAAAAAGCATGTGTTGCAGTTTTTATTATCTGTAACTATTCTTGTAGGCTGTAGGCTTGTAGGCAAAATCAATTCATATTTACTACTAACCAGAAGAAAAATAATTGAAAAAAAAAAACAAAAATAAAACAAAAGAAACTGCCAAACCTAAAAATCATTTAAACAAAGTGCCTATAATAATTTTTGACCCGATTTTTATTATCTGCAACTATTCTAGTAGGCAGTGGGTACTGGTAAAATTAATTCAAATCTACGACTAACCAGAAGAAAACCAATTGTAAAAAAAATGCAAAAAACAAAAGATAAACTGCCAGAGGTAAAAATCATTAAAAAAAAAGTGCCGAAGGTAACTGTTGACCCAATTTTTATTATCTGCATCTAGGCAGTCAGTACTGGTAAAATCAATTCACATCTACTACTCACGAGAAGAAAAACAATATTAAAAAAAACAAAAGATAAACGGAGAAAGGTAAAAATAATTAAAAAAGAAACACCTATAATAATTTTTATTATCTGCAACTGTTCTTGTAGGCAGTGAGTATCGGTAAAATCAATTCATATCTACTACTCACTAGAAGAAAAACGATTGTAATAAAATTAAAAAAAAACACTATAAACTGCCAATGGCAAAAAAATAACTAAAAAAGAAGCACCTATGAAAAATTTTGGCCCAATTTTTATTATCGCAACTATTCTTGTAGATAGTGAGTACTGGTAAAATGAATTCACATCTACTAGTCACTAGAAGAAAAGCAATTGTAAAAACAAAAAAACACATCCTTCCAATCAATAATACAAACTAAACATTTTAAAATGTGCGACACCTTTCAGAAAAAAATAAACTCTTTTGAGCCAACAACAGTACGAAAACTGCTTTCAGGTTTGATATAGAATTCCTTATAGAGAAGGTATTTAAAAACAGGAATCTCTAAACATAAACGAGATTAAGCAAGGATTAAAAAACTGCGCTTTTTGATCATTTCAAAAAAACTGGAGGTGTCTTTAATTTTGGTAACCTAAAAACTCTGGGAAAACAAAACAATTATAAAAAAAGAGTTTTGTCCGAAATGATGATAAAAACGCACATTAATAGAGCAAATAGGCGAACATGTAAGCATCTAAGCACTTACCGCAATATTTAAAAAAACCAGTAGCACATTAAGAATGGAGTTAGTTGATTGATATATGTCGGAGTGTCGGTAGGCGAGGTTCTTTATATGTTTAAATATTTTACACGTTATGTATTTTTACCTTTTTAAAAATATTGGTGTTTTGGTGATACTGACACCTTATGTGAACATTCATGCCAAATTTCAATTTCAAGTATTGTAATTTTGTTATGGAGCGTTGCTTGCCTGCAAGATTCTATAACCCATAAAAATATCTTTCGATTTTTATTTTAATTTGTTTTTGGCATGGGCTAAATTAGACACTTTCAAATGGTAACTTCCCTTTTTATATTAATAATGTTGTTTGGGGTTCATAAAACGCTTAATGTCAAAAACTGCACATACTGTATAAGGATTATTTGTAAAAAATCACTGCAACTTTGACAGGATGGGACCGTGTATTTTGGTTTTAAAATAACCTGTTATGCTATTATCTTGATTCGGGTTTAAAGGCCGTCGTCGATTGGAATTACTTCCTAACATTTCGCTAGCACGAGTGGCGAGCTTCTTTAGAGGTCCTTCCATCTCCGATGTTGGACGTAGACTGACGATTTCTCCTGCGCAGGTTGTATTTATGCCGATTGGTGGTGGGCGGGGCTTGTTCCGCTTCGGTTGGTCTCGGGATATCGATCGGTACTGCTCGGGCGTTCCTAAGGATCGGGTTCCAGATTTGGTTGAGTCTAAGGGTCTCCTCCTTTCTGTTGAAATTGTGTGGGTGTTTTTGTATCTCAAT